TGTCTTTCTCCCAGGACACCACGCTGACGTACTCCTGCACGGCCGAGGGGATGAGGCACTTGAACACAGCCACGTTGCCCCGCATGGACCGCTGGTCTGCCACCCGCACCGTATAGGGCTCCCTGAACACTGGAGAGAAGAGACAGAGGAAAGGGGTGGTTAGTGGGGAACAATGTTGGCTATTCTGCACCAAACTGTGTTATTCAGCTGAGCTAAAGCCAAAGCATCAGTTCAGAAAGCTAACACAAGCCTTCCGGTTAGAGTTAAGGTTGGTTATCATACAAGCCACATGCAAGACATGTCCTAGCCTGTGCCCTACATTATTATTAAATGAAAACAAGGACCTCTTTTTCTGATCTACAAGAGCTGAAATGCTTTGAAAGGCAGGTCATGGCCCACATCAACAGCATCATCCTGGATACACTAGACCCACTCCAATTTGCATATCACCCCAACATATCCACAGATGACGCAATCTCAAACGGACTCCACACTGCCCTTTCCCACCTGGACAAAAGGGACACCTATGTGAGAATGCTGTTCATTGACTACAGCTCAGCGTTCAACACCATAGTGCCCACAAAGCTCATCACTAAGCTAAGGACCCTGGGACTAAACACCTCCCTCTGCAACTGGATCCTGGACTTCCTGACGGGCCGCCCCCAGGTGATAAGGGTAGGCAACAACACGTCTGCCACGCTGATCCTCAACACTTGGGCCCCTCAGGGGTGCGTGCTTAGTCCCCTCCTGCACTCCCTGTTCATCCACGACTGTGTGGCCAAACACGAGTCCAACACCATCATTACGTTTGCTGACGACACAACAGTGGTAGGCTTGATCACCGACAATGATGAGACAGCCTATAGGGAGGAGGTCAGAGACCTGGCAGTGTGGTGCCAGGACAACAACCTCTCCCTCAATGTGAGCAAGACAAAGGAGCTGATCGTGGACGACAAGAAAAGGCGGGCCGAACAGGCCCCCGTTAACATCGACGGGGCTGTAGTGAAGCGGGCCGAGAGTTTCAAGTTCCTTGGTGTCCATATCACCAACAGACTATCATGGTCCAAACACACCAAGACAGTCGTGAAGAGGGCACGACAACACCTTTTCCCCCTCAGGAGAATGAAAAGATTTGGCATGGGTCCCCAGATCCTCAAAAGGTTCTACAGCTGCACCATCGAGAGCATCCTGACCAGTTGCATCACCGCCTGGTATGGCAACTGCTCGGGCATCTGACCATAAGGCGCTACAGAGGGTAGTGCGTACGGCCCAGTATATCACTGAGGCCAAGCTTCCTGCAATCCAGGACCTACAGTGAGGGAAAAAAGTATTTGATCCCCTGCTGATTTTGTACGTTTGTCCACTGACAAAGAAATGATCAGTCTATCATTTTAATGGTAGGTTTATTTGAACAGTGAGAGACAGAATAACAACAACAAAAATCCAGAAAAACGCATGTCAAAAATGTATAAATTGATTTGCATTTTAATGAGGGAAATAAGTATTTGGCCCCTCTGTAAAACTTGACTTAGTACTTGGTGGCAAAACCCTTGTTGGCAATCACAGAGGTCAGATGTTTCTTGTAGTTGGCCACCAGGTTTGCACACATCTCAGGAGGGATTTTGTCCCATTCCTCTTTGCAGATCTTCTCCAAGTCATTAAGGTTTTGAGGCTGACGTTTGGCAACTCGAACCTTCATCTCCCTCCACATAATTTCTATGGGATTAAGGTCTGGAGACGGGCTAGGCCACTCCAGGACCTTAATGTGCTTCTTCTAGAGCCACTCCTTTGTTGCCTTGGCTGTGTGTTTTGGGTCATTGTCATGCTGGAATACCCATCCACGACCCATTTTCAATGCCCTGGCTGAGGGAAGGAGGTTCTCACCCAAGATTTGACGGTGCATGGCCCCGTCCATCGTCCCTTTGATGCGGTGAAGTTGTCCTGTCCCCTTAGCAGAAAAATACCCCCAAAGCATACTGTTTCCACCTCCATGTTTGACGGTGGGGATGGTGTTGTTGGGGTCATAGGCAGCATTCCTCCTCCTCCAAACACGGCGAGTTGAGTTGATGCCAAAGAGCTCGATTTTGGTCTCATCTGACCACAACACTTTCACCCAGTTCTCCTCTGAATCATTCAGATGTTCATTGGCAAACTTCAGACGGCCCTGTATATGTGCTTTCTTGAGCAGGGGGACCTTGCGGGCGCTGCAGGATTTCAGACCTTCACGGCGTAGTGTGTTACCAATTGTTTTCCTTGGTGACTATGGTCCCATCTGCCTTGAGATCATTGACAAGATCCTCCCGTGTAGTTCTGGGCTGATTCCTCACCGTTCTCATGATCATTGCAACTCCACGAGGTGAGATATTGCATGGGGCCCCAGGCCGAGGGAGATTGACAGTTATTTTGTGTTTCTACCATTTGCGAATAATCGCACCAACTGTTGTCACCTTCTCACCAAGCTGCTTGGCGATGGTCTTGTAGCCCATTCCAGCCTTGTGTAGGTCTACAATCTTATCCCTGACATCCTTGGAGAGCTCTTTGGTCTTGGCCATGGTGGAGAGTTTGGAATCTGATTGATTGATTGCTTTTTGTGTACAGGTGTCTTTTATACAGGTAACAAACTGAGATTAGGAGCACTCCCTTTAAGTGTGCTCCTAATCTCAGCTCGTTACCTGTATAAAAGACACCTGGGAGCCAGAAATCTTTCTGATTGAGAGGGGGTCAAATACTTATTTCCCTCATTAAAATGCAAATCAATTTATAACATTTTTGACATGCGTTTTCTGGATTTTTTTGTTGTTATTCTGTCTCTCACTGTTCAAATAAACCTACCATTAAAATTATAGACTGATCATTTCTTTGTCAGTGGTTAAACGTACAAAATCAGCAGAGGATCAAATACTTTTTTCCCTCACTGTATATACTAGGCGGTGTCAGAGGAAAGCCCCAAAAAATGTCAAAGACTCCAGTCACCCAAGTCATAGACTGTTCTCTCTGCCCTTGCACGGCAAGCGGTATCAGAGCGCCAAGTCTAGGACCAAAAGGCTCCTTAACAGCTTCTACCCCCAAGCCATAAGACTACTGAACAATTAATAAAATGGCCACCCGGACTATTTACATTGACACCCCCCCCCCACCCCCCCCTCCATTTGTTTTTACACCGCTGCTACCTGCTGTCTATTATCTATGCATAGTCACTTTACCCCTACCTACATGTACAAATTACCTCGACTAACCTGTACCCCCGCACATTGACTCGGTACCGGTACCCCCTGTATATAGCCTGGTTATTGTTATTTTATTGTGTTACTTTTTATAATTTTTTACTTTGGTTTATTTGGTAAATATGTTCTTAACTCTTTCTTGAACTGCATTGTTGGTTAAGGACTTTTAAGTAAGCATTTCACGGTAAGGTCTACACTTGTATTCGGCGCATGTGACAAATAAAGTTTGATTTGATTTGACATTTTCCTGGACTATAATTCACTGAGAGACGCTAAGAGTAGCCCACATGTAAACTTGGTTGGTTAAACAACATCAATGTTGTTTTCGCTTTAATCCTGCAAAGCAAAGGAGAAACTGATTGTAAAAAGAAGTGACACCCAGTTGCTTTGAGAAGGATCTGGTGCGAATGGCAATTACCCTTTTAAAGAAAGACCAATGTAATTCTAAGAGAAGGCTCGGAATTGCTGGGTCTGGGCAGTCACAAAAAGGGGTGCCCTTTGCACCTGACGCACAGGACCCCGGACATCGCACAGATATATGTAGAGACAAATGAGAAAATGGCAACTCTAAGGGTATCAGTGTGGACTGGATTAAAATGGGCCTACAGTATACAGCAACATGACAAGACGATAGCAGACCTGATGTGAATGAAACGTAATTGCATTTTAATTTCAAGCATAATAACAGTGTAATGTCAAAATGTATTAGCTAGACTAACACAAGGAAAAAGCATGGGCGTTTGGGATTTCAAACATGTCGATGCAAATGGGATTACAATGTAGACCACAATCAGCTGGAAAACAACATGGGGAAGGGACTCTGTGGCACTGCAATCTAATCACAACTAATTCTATGAGGCTTCTCTCATACCAATCAGGGGAGTAATGGGTTAACCACGTGAAGTCAACAATAAACACACGCTCACACACACGTACGCACGCGCGTAAGCACACACACACACACACACCCTGCCTGTGCTCTCTCTACAAGTTCTCTAGCGATATAATTAACGCCTAGCCTGGAGGTGAATTTCCTTGGTCATTAATAATGCTTAATGCCAGCCGCCAGTGTCACCCACTGAAACCAGAGCCAATGTCCTTGTCAGAATACTGAAGACGTTAACCTTAACGTTGTGGTGTGGGCCTACCCAAACATAATGTAACCACGAGACACGCTTTGAGCAACCATAGCTAAGCCCTATACCTATTTGGTCACTCAGTGGCCTAATGTATTATGAAGCCTCATTTGTAACAAATTGAAGAAAGGTCAAACAATTCCAATCAGGTCTTCATTCCAATTCTTCATTTAAATGCCCCCTTTTCTTATCACAGCAGACCATCTCTGGATCAATAGGCTGAATCGATTAAGTAGCCCCTTTCGCAGCCAAGCCAATCCGTTCAATCATTTATTTACTCCTTGATTGACCCTGCGTCTCATCACGCAGAGCTAAATTGCCCTATGACCATTGAGCCTCTATGAGACTGTTTAAAGCCAAAACAACTGACAGCAAACATCACTGATTCTTTGCACTTACATACTCGATAAAGGCTTAAAACAGAAGTAGGCTAACAATTGTGATAGCATTGTGATATTTCACATGTTCCAGTTTCGAGGCGAGAGGTGCAGAAAATTCCCAAAAAAATTAATTAAGCCCTTGCAAGTTCATGCAAATGGTAGCCCAGTGTTTATGCATAAATTGCACTCTCCTCGCATGCTTGCTGTCATTAGGTTGTTACTGATGCCTGACTATATCCACCCGGTTGCCTAGGAACGGGCTAAAACACGGGTCTGGCGCTCTCGGCGCACTGGGAGAAGAGGCCTGTATCACTGCTGTCTAAATAATTAACTACAGGGAAACCAAATACACTATTTACTTATTCATAAAGCGAGCAGCAAAAAAATTAATAATAAATAATCAAATAAAGGGGGCAACTGAATGGATGTACTGTATTGTACACGTTAATGAATGAATGGGAGTAAACAATACCTGGCTATCAGGTTCTGTCTGTGGCAGAAGACCTATAAAGCCAGAGATAAAAAGGAGGGCGGCCAGGCCGGGAGAGTACAGGGCAGCAGTGGACTGTGCTCAGTCTAAACTCTGTGGGTTTGTGTTGATAGAAAGGGGAGCTGAGGTGAGCTCACTGAACAGCTGATCCCAGTTCACTCTAGATCTCACCTGTGTGTGTAACTCTAGCTCTGTGTGACAAAGGAGTAGGACATAGGACATAGACATAGGCCTAGCATTGATTACACTATATCCCCTTGAAATAGTCATGTGACCTTGGCAAAGGTCACAGAGACCATCAGAGTGGAATGGCTAATTCCGTATTTTTTGTATGCATGTATTTCTTGCATTATGTATGTATTTATTGTTTTTATGGAGTATAGCCTCTCTGGTCCAATGAGAAACCAGACATTGACGCTTACTCAGACTGTCAGGCAAAAATAAATAAAAAGTCCTGCAATAAACTCTCCCCGCCACCAGTCGTCTCTGCTGTGTGTGTGCGTACTGCGTGCATGCATGTGTGTGGGAGAGGAGAGCAGGCATTTGACAGGTGTGAGGAGCGCTGAGCAGGCAGCCAGAGCCCAAATGAGATGCGCTCCATCATCACGTGATCTCAATGAGCACACAGGCAGGAAGTCAGCATTACCAGAGCTTGAATAAGAATAGGCTCCAAACTGCAGCCAGGCAGTGGGACCAGACGGGCTGCATGCAAAGCACTCCGAAATGATTGGCTGCTCTACAGAAGTGGCTATGTCCCAATTCTGTTGACTGACTTTCTTTTTTTCCTTTCTTTTCGGTCTTTGTCTCCGCAGGGGAATGGCTTGCATTATCTTGTCTCTCTCCCCTGATGGCCACTGATAGGTGAAAGGATAAGCTAGGTCTCAAGAGTGGTGCTCTCAACTGTAATTCATTCAGACTGTGTTTTGAGATGAGGTCAGAAACACAGTCTGGGTCCAATATCTACTTAGTATAGCATCACAGCCAATAGCTAGATTTCCATCTAATTTGAACCGATTTTCATGCGAATATTCAAAAAAAAAATTCCACCAGAGATGTGTTTAGATCAAATGGACCTGTTGCTGATAAACGTCTGTACCTGATGACATAGTGTACATAAAAATAACTTTTAAGGTTAAATTCCCATGTACTGAAAAAGAAAATACAAGTTAAATGGTCCTTAAGAGTCAATCAAATTAACATAATAAAATAATCCTCATCAAAATCCGTCAGTTTAAGGTAGAGATATGCATGGGCTGCGTCTCAACCCACCACATCCACCTATGTTGGCCCTCTGCATCTGCGGTGGAAAGTGGCAAAGCTACAGCGCTGTTTGTCAGACCAGGAGACATCCCGAAAATCGATCTTCTCAAGAAAACGTCTGTACCGTCCGCACAATTTGGGCTACTAATATGACCCCACTATGGAAAGGGGAGACTCTCACGGACACTATGGTGTTTTCCGTTTTGATCTATGACTCCCACAAGTGTCACGGGACTCGTCTGAAGGTAACCCATACAAATGAATGGAAGTAAGGAGGTGGTTTTGTGCCAACAAAAAAAAAGGGTTAAATATGTGTCCAAAATACAACAATATATCCTGAGCTTTCTCATAGCTCCTAGATACAGGACAGACACTTCAAAACCTTATTCCTTATGAATATTTGAACAACTTAATTTTTTGCCATTTATGAATGCATTTCTTTGGGCCAAATTCAATATTCTATCAAATATATACAGTATCAGTCAAAAGTTTGGACACACCTACTCATTCAGGATTTTTCTTTATTTTTGCTATTTTCTACATTGTAGAATAATAGTGAAGACATCAAAACTATGAAATAACACATATGGAATCATGTAGTAACCAAAAAAGTGTTAAACAAATCAAAATATATTTTAGATTTTAGATTCTTCGAAGTAGCCACCCTTTGCCTTGATGACAGCTTTGCACACTCTTGGCATTCTCTCTACCAGCTTCACCTGGAATGCTTTTCCAACAGTCTTGAAGGAGTTCCCACATATGCACAATCACTGAGAGTGTCACCAGCAAAGCACCCCCACACCATCACACCTCCTCCTCCATGCTTCACGGTGGGAACCACATATGCGGAGATCATCTATTCACCTACTCTGCGTCTCACAAAGACACGGCGGTTGGAACCAAAAATCTCATATTTGGAATCATCAGACCAAAGGACACATTTCCACCGGTCTAATGTGCATTGCTTGTGTTTCTTGGCCCAAGCAATTATCTTCTTCTTTTTGGTGTCCTTTAGTAGTGGTTTCTTTGCAGCAATTCGACCATGAAGGCCTGATTCACATAATCTCCTCTGAACAGTTGATGTTGAGATGTGTCTGTTACTTGAACTCTGTGAAGCATTTATTTGGGCTGCAATCTGAGGTGCAGTTAACTCTAATGAACTTATCCTCTGCAGCAGAGGTAACGCTGGGTCTTCCTTTCCTGTGGCGATCCTCATGAGAGCCAGTTTCATCATAGCGCTTGATGGTTTTTGCGACTGCACTTGAAGAAACTTTAAAAGTTCTTGAAATGTTCCGGATTGACTGACCTTCATGTCTTAAAGTAATGATGGACTGTCGTTTCTCTTTGCTTATTTGAGCTGTTCTTGCCATAATATGGACTTGGTATTTTACCAAATAGGGCTATCATCTGCATACCACCCCTACCTTGTCAAAACACAACTGATTGGCTCAAATGCATTAAGAAGGAAAGACATTCCACAAATTAACTTTTAACAAGGCACACTTGTTAATTAAAATGCTTTCCAGGTGATTACCTCATGAGGTTGGTTGAGAGAATGCCAAGAGTGTGCAAAGCTGTCATCAAGGCAAAGGTTGGCTACTTTGAAGAATCTCAAATATAAAATATATTTTAAAAAACACTTTTTTGGTTACTACATGATTCCATATGTGTTATTTCATAGTTTTGATGTCTTCACTATTATTCTACAATGTAGAAAATAGTAAAAAATAAGAAAAACCCTTGAATGAGTAGGTGTATCAAATTATTTTACTGGTACTGTACATACAGGGCTCCTAAGGCTTAGATATTCAGAGGTTTAAATGGGTTTCCATCGCATTTTCATCTCTACTGATGGATTAGTCACAAAAAAATGTTGCGTTGTTTAGCGAATGTGCCCACTCCGGTATTGGCACAAGCGCTCTAGCCAACAGTCGCAGATACAGTGTGGGTACAGCCTACATAATGAGATTATTATGGACAAAAGAGCAAGATTATTTTAATTTGTCAAAAGGCAGCCAAGCATCTATCATCATGTCACCAGAATAAGCTCATCACTAGTAATAAACTGCATGCTTTCCCGAGTCATAATGGGAGAACCACATATGTCATCGCGTGACTCCAAGTTTACTTCGATATGATTGTTATTATATCAATATTTGCACATAAAAACTTTTCCACCACCATTTCTCTCATTATTAATTTAACCGAAACAAAAATATGCCACCTTGTCTAGCGTATTTTGTTTTGTCAACATTTGCTGTTTCCATCAGATCATTACTTAAAAAGGTTGGATGGAAACCTGGTTAATGACACTTATCAATGTTAACTGTCATTTACAATTTAGCAGATGCTCTTATCCAGAGCGACTTACAGGAGCAATCAGGGTTAAGTGCCTTGATCAAGGACACATAGACAGATTTTTCACCTAGTCAGCTCGGGGATTAGAACCAGCGACCTTTCAGTTACTGGCACAACGCTCTTAACCACTAAGCTACCTGCCGCCCCAGGTAGCTATATGATGGCTAAACCTAGTTTTGACGTTTTGTTATGTTATTCAGCGTGTACAGTCGTGGTCAAAAGTTTTGAGAATGACACAAGTATTGGTCTTCACAAAGTTCGCTGCTTCAGTGTTATGAGATGTTTTTGTCAGATGTTACTATGGTATACTGAAGTATAATTACAAGCATTCCATAAGTGTCAAAGGCTTATATTGACAATTACATTACGTTTATGCAAAGAGTCAATATTTGCAGTGTTGACCCTTCTTTTTCAAGACCTCTGCAATCCACCCTGGCATGCTGTCAATTAACTTCTGGGCCACATCCTGACTGATGGCAGCCCATTCTTGCATAATCAATGTTTGGAGTTTGTCAGAATTTGTGGGTTTTTGTTTGTCCACCCGTCTCTTGAGGATCGACCACAAGTTCTCAATGGGATTAAGGTCTGGGGAGTTTCCTGGCCATGGACCCAAAATGTCGATGTTTTGTTCCCTGAGCCACTTAGTTATCACTTTTGCCTTATGTCAAGGTGCTCCATCATGCTGGAAAAGGCATTGTTCGTCACCAAACTGTTCTTGGATGGTTGGGAGAAGTTGCTCTCGGAGGATGTGTTGGTACCATTCTTTATTCATGGCTGTGTTCTTAGGCAAAAATGTGAGTGAGCCCACTCCCTTGGCTGAGAAGCAACCCCACACATGAATAGTCTCAGGATACTTTACTGTTGGCATGACACAGGACTGATGGTAGCGGGAAAGGGGATGACTTTAGAGAATCAGAGAAAATGACTTTACCCCAGTCCTCAGCAGTCCAATCACTGTAGATTTTGCAGAATATCAGTCTGTCCCTGATGTTTTTCCTGGAGAGAAATGGCTTCTTTGCTGCCCTTCTTGACACCAGGCCATCCTCCAAAAGTATTCGCCTCACTGTGCGTGCAGATGCACTCACACCTGCCTGCTGCCATTCCTGAGCAATCTCTGCACTGGTGGTGCCCCGATCCCGCAGCTGAATCAACTTTAGGAGACGGTCCTGGCACTTGCTGGACTTTCTTGGGCGCTTTGACGCCTTCTTCACAACAATTTAACCTCTCTCCTTGAAGTTCTTGATGATCCGATAAATGGTTGATTTAGGTGCAATATCCTTGCCTGTGAAGCCCTTTTTGTGCAAAGCAATGATGATGGCACGTGTTTCCTTACAGGTAACCATGGTTAACAGAGGAAGAACAATGATTTCAAGCGCCACCCCCCTTTTAAAGCTTCCAGTCTGTTATTCTAACTCAATCAGCATGACATAGTGATCTCCAGCCTTGTCCTCGTCAACACTCTCACCTGTGTTAACGAGAGAATCACTGACATGATGGCAGCTGGTCCTTTTGTGGCAGGGCTGAAATGCAGTGGAAATGTTTTTTGGGGATTAAGTTCAATTTCATGGAAAAGAGGGACTTTGCAATTAATTGCAATTCATCTAATCACTCTTCATGAAATTCTGGAGTATATGCAAATTGCCATCATCAAAACTGAGGCAGCAGACTTTGTGAAAATTAGTATTTGTGTCATTCTCAAAACTTTTGACCACAACTGTATATTCACTTTGAATGGGGTGAGGAGAGGACAATGGAGGGGAAGGGAGTAGAATGGAAAGCAGAAGAGGAACAAATGTTGACAATAAAAGAGAGGACATTGGAAAGCAGAATAGGGCTACATGACTAGAGATGGAAGGGAAGGCCTCCTATGAGAGCCAATGGAAACAGCTTCAATATCATTAGAGCACAGAATGTCCGTCAAATGTCGATTAAGAAAATATGTGAAAGAATGGCTTTAACAAGAAATATAGGGTCAGGACTTTGACAATAACAGAGGGAGAGCAAAACAAGAGAATGAAAACAAACAGCGATTTTCATAAATGTACAGCGATCCACACAGGTACCAGCGCTATTATTGGCACAGAATCAGCATGCGTGGGAGGGGGGGGGGGGGGGGTGGGATGGGTGGGGGTGGCGAGATGAAGGGATGGAGGGAGGGAGGGAGGGAGGGAGGGTGTCACACTGCGAACTGTCAGCTGTCATCAGTCTCCGACAACACCTGAGACGGAACGCGCCACACCCTGCCGCTCACGCCCTGCCTGTTGCCCATGGCAACCGCTGTATGTGAATGTGTGTGTGTGTGTGTGAATTTGTGTGTGTGTAGTGGCGCAATACACAGGCGAGTCCTGAGGGCTGGAGTTGAGGTGCTGCAGAGTTGGGTGTGGGGGTTGGTGGTTTTTCATAGACTCAGCATTTAATTGATTAATTGGGGTAATTATTTTCCGGGGAAGGTCGCCCTACACAGACACTGGTTGGAAGGTCACTCTACAGCCGATGGGACGAGGGTCCTCTGGACAGAAATGCCATAAGGGGTGTGGTGGGGGGAGGGAGGAGGGGTAGTCTGTAACCATCTTAATTTGGCCATGAATTTGGTAAGCTGACCGTTAACAACTTAATCGCTACTGGATTTGTTTGATTTGATCTTACACATATTTTAAGGGGGTTGTTCCGATTTTCATGATATAGATTGTTCATTGAATATGTCGCTGAAGGTGAACTAAAACATCAACAATATTTATTATTGCGTGCAACTCTGTTCAATCCCTCTCATGTTTAAACTCATTCCCTTTCCTGCTACAGTAAACACCCTGACAAAGACCTGGCACAGTTACCCAGAAGAGCCAGCTTGACAAAAACGGTGTGTGTGTGTGTTTAGTTGGGGGCCTTTCCAGTCCATGGACAGATGGAGAGACTGGGAGACAGGAGGCCTGCTGGCATAAGCAGGGTACAGGCTGGTGTGTGTGTGTGTGTGTGTGTGTGTGTGTGTGTGTGTGTGTGTGTGTGTGTGTGTGTGTGTGTGTGTGTGTGTGTGTGTGTGTGTGTATCCTAGCCTGCATGTGTGTGTGTGTGTGTGATCTCCCCCATTGCAGTGTGGTCAGCCCACAGTCCAGCAGTGACCTTGGCACAGGGCACAGGGGTCATTCTGCCAACTGTCTGTGCCGCTGTGTGTGTGTCTGCCAGGGGCTTTTCAAAGGAGCAGGGTCTAGGCTTTGGGACGCTCACCCCCCCACTGAGTCTTATTGTTAGTGAGGGGACCAATATGGATATCGTTTGGTTTACCGTTTGTTACAGATGTTTTTGTTGTTAGTGGTTCTCTTAGAATGGTGCTGAGTGTACAGAAAGTATTTGATTTCTTATCTATATGCATTTTCTGTTTGTTTCTAAACCTTTCTCTTATACTCATCCTCCTTTCATTCTTTGTGAAGACATTGTGTTGCTGTTTGGCCCCAGAACAGTGTTTAGTTAGGTTGTACAGATGAAGCTGTGTCTCTATGTCTGGTCCTGTCTAAGGCTCCACCAGAAGAGGCTGCCTGTGTTCAGTCTGAGTCTTACCTGCTTTGACGCGAATGCTGGGGCTGCGGATCTTGCCGGCCTGGTTCTCTGCGGTGCAGAAGTAGTCGTTGTCATGGATGTAGCTGTTGAAGGCAGAGGGTGAGAAAGGGTAGAGCTGGAGGGTGCCGTTGGCGTGCACGTGGCGGATGTGGGGCACGTCGTAGATGTCGTCGCCGGTGACCAGGTACCAGCGCAGGACGGCATGGGGTGTGCCGCCCGCAGGGCAGGGCAGGGACACCCCAACCGAGCTGGAGAAGGTCACCCGCTGCAGGGAGGCGTTTACAAAGTACAGCCGCGTCGAGACCACATCCTCACTGTTCACTGTGATGGGAGAGAAAGACATGGTCAGGATAATACACACACACAAAGAAAAGCTGTGTCCAGACCACATCCTCACTGTGATGGGTAGAAGAAAAAGGGTGGGGTTGGGACACACACACACCCATACCCTCCCACACACACATACACACACACACACACACACACACAGCCAATGTGTGGGCAGCCACCTACCAATCTCCAAACTGGGTTATCTTCTAGAGATTTCCATCAGGTCAGCACAGCAGATCCCAAAAATAGAATCAATTACTATTTCTCCATTAGGCAAATGACGTGACGTAATATATGCATAATTTATTTTCAGCTACATGTAACTCTGTTATGATAAGCTGGAGCTAAGCCAAACCACAGTTAGAAGCTCTGCTATAGCCTGATGAACACAGTCTACTTGATTTGGCAATAGCTCAAATAGTCTGTACAATAGCTTAAATCAACCTGGCATTGACTTTGATCAGGTAACATGTTACTCGCACACACGTGTTTGTGTTTGTGTGTCTCAAGTGTGCCTCTCCGATCCACCTTAATGGAAACTAGCGACCTGGCTGTCAAACAGCAGGGATCCATCCTCTTTAATGCATTATCATAATATCTGTAGTCTAAGATATGCCTAACAAGAGCCCTTCATTAAACTGGCATCTGATTGGAAGGGAAATGGGTGATGCACCCCCACACCCCGTCCTCCCCCATGTTGATATGCCATGCCCATGAAACAAAGAATCCATGAGGTTGTTCGGACAATACCTAGTCTGCCAGTTCAACCCATCTCAAGTCTATATCATCACTGAGATATGCCTTTAGTATACCTACAACCACAACCCTGGAGGGAGGGCTGCTTTGCAAACACTATGGCTTTCACACGCTGTTTAAATTAAGTGCTGTTGTCCCATAAATCGTTTTAGGGGAGATACATCCCTAAAACATCCCCCCTGGCAGTGTCTCCTGGGAAGCAGCTAGACCTCTTTTTAGATTTGGGGGGGGGGGGGTGAGAGCTCAGCTTGGCCCCAGGCCAACAGGAGACAGGAGGAATGAGAGCCAGATAATTTCTTCTGAGTCAATGATATATAATTAATCCTCTTCCCTGGTTTGTGTCAACAATGGCCGGATTAGCCCTATCTGTTTCACTCTGAATGGTCCGGGACGAATGGCAGTGAATGGAAGTGGCGGCTAGATGCCTCATCAAGGTAGATTTAGGAGGGATCTAAGGCACAACAGATAACCTACAGCTAGCCCTGTGCATTGATGTCGAACCAAATTAGCATTAGGAAAATCATTAAAACAGCTATGAGGGGAAAGAATTTAAGGGGCTAAATAAATATTTTGTCATAATTCAAATGTTTTAGATCAGATCAAATTAATTTCACTGCTTCATTGGAAATAGATGAATTGAAATGTAACAGTTAAGCCTACTATATTTATGGACATTTCTATATACACTACATGACTCACACTCCAGCAGTGACCTTGGCACAGGGCACAGGGGTCACTCTGCCAACTGTTTGTGCCGCTGTGTGTGTGTCTGCCAGTGGTTTTTTAAAGGAGCAGGTTCAAGGCTTTGGGACGCTCACCCCCCACCAATATGGATGTCGTTTGTTTTTTTGTTTTTTACAGACGTTTTTTTGTTAGTGTTTTTTGTTTGTCTTCATTGTGTTTGGAGAGTGGTTCTCTTAGAATGGAGCGCAGCATACAGCATCAAATCCCACACTACATGACCAAAAGTATGTGGACACCTGCTCATCGAAACACCTCATTCTAAAATCATGGGCATTAATATGGAGTTGGTCCACCCTTTGCATAGTGCTGCTATAACAGCCTCCACTCTTCTGGGAAGGCTTTCCACTAGATGTTGGAATATTGCTGTGGGGACTTGCTTCCATTCAGCCACAAGAGCGTTAGTGAGGTCGGGCACTGATGTTGGGCGATTAGGCCTGGCTCACAGCCAGCATTCCAATTCATCCCAAAGGTGTTTGATGGGGCTGAGGTCAGGGTTCTGTGCAGGCCAGTCAATTTCTTCCACTCTGATCTCGACAAACCATTTCTGTATGGACCTTGGGGGCATTGTCATGCTGACACAGGACAGGGCCTTCCCCAAACTGTTGCCACAAAATTGGAAGCACAGAATGTAATTGTATGCTGTAATGTTAAGATTTCCATTCACTGGAAATAAGGGGCCTAGCCCGAACCATGAAAAACAACCCCAGACCATTATTCCTCCTCCACCAAGCTTTACAGTTGGCACTATGCTTTCGGGCAGGTAGCATTCTCCTGCCATCCACCAAACCCAGATTCGTCCGTCAGACTGCCGGATGGTGAAACGTGATTCAACAATCCAGGGAACGCGTTTCCACTGCTCCAGAGTCCAATGGTGGCGAGCTTTACACTACACCAGCCGAAGTTTGGCATTGCGCATGGTGATCTTAGGCTTGTGTGCGGCTGCTCGGCCTGGAAACCCATTTCATGAAGCTCCCGACTAACAGTTCTTGTTCTGACGTTGCTTCCAGAGGTAGTTTGGAACTTGTTAGTGAGTGTTGCAACCGAGGACAGACAATTTTTACAGTCCCGTTCTGTGAGCTTGTGGGGCCTACCACTTCGCAGCTGAGCCGTTGTTGCTCCTAGACGTTTCCACTTCATAATAACAGCACTTACAGTTGACTGGGGCAGCTATATAGCAGGGCAGAAATTTGACGAACTGACTTTTTGGAAAGTTGGCATCCTATGACGGTGCCACGTTAAAAGTCACTGAGTTCTTCAGTAAGGCCATTCTACTGCCAATGTTTGTCTATGGAGATTGCATGACTGTGTGCTCGATTTTATATACCTGTCAGCAACAGGTGTGGCTGAAATAGCCGAATCCACTAATTTGAAGGGGTGCCCACATACTTTTGCATATATAGTGTAAATATTAACTAACATAAGCCAAGTGATCTTTGGTACAGCACAAACAGAATGAAAAACATGACACAAGTGATGGCAGAGTATTGAAAGGGTGAGATAGGGATGAAGCCCTCACTAGGTAAGGGTGGCTCTCTCTCCCCTCTCTCTCTCTCTCTCCATTCATTCATCCCTCTCCCCCTTCTCTTCCTCCTCTCCTTCTCTGCATCAACGTCGTTTTTCTCTCCCTTCCTCACTCTGAATATCTTTCTTCTCTCCCTCTTTTTCTCTCCCCAACACTCTCAATCCATCCTACCCTGCATCTCACCCCTTCTCTCTCTCTCTCCTATTATAGTCCTCCAGTACATGGCAGGATATGTTATGTGATTTGAATTTGTATGCCAGACGCAGAGAGTTCAATCCATATAATCTCCTTTCACATTTAACACACACACACAGTCTCTCCGCCCTGGTAATCGCACCACCGTGGAGGACCTCTTTCCCACTCCCCTGGCATGTGTATGTGTGTGGTTGGGTTAGATCAGGGCCAAGAAAGGGTTAAGGGGTACTACAGGGGGGTCACTGTGTGTGTGTGTGTGTGTGTGTGTGTGTGTGTGTGTGTGTGTGTGTGTGTGTGTGTGTGTGTGTGTGTGTGTGTGTGTGTGTGTGTGTGTGTGTGTGTGTGTGTGTGTGTGTGTGTGTGTGTGTGTGTGTGTGTGTTTGCGTGTGTGCGTGCGTGCGTGCGTGCGTGTGTGTGTGTGTGTGCGTGTGTGTATGCGTGCGTGTGTGTTGGGGAGGTCAGTGTTAAGGCTGAGTGGTATTTAAGGTCAAGCTTTATGCTGGAAGTGTGTCGGGGTCGGTGATGTGGGGTGTGAGGGCTGTGAGGTGAGGTGACAGTGTGTCAGTGTGTACATGTGCTTGTGTGCACATACGTGCATGTGTGTGTGAGTGTGTATGTGAGGTCCCTCTCCTATCCGAAATGGAGCAGTTCCTCTGTGTCTAAAAGGTGTAATTTAGGTTGAGTGCAATTTATCCTGTATCATGTGCCATATAAAACACAACTCTCTGCTCATGTTCTGAGAGAGAGACCATTTCAGCACCATGGACAGGGCCACACTTGCTTTTCAGTCACATTTACATTTTAGTCATTTAGCAGACGCTCTTATCCAGAGCAATTAGGGTTAAGTGCCTTGCTCAAGAGCACATTGACAGATTTTTCACCTAGTCAGGTCGAGGATTCGAACCAGCGAGCTTTCGGTTACTGGCCCAAAGCTTTTTACAACAACAAAAAAAGCCCAACATGGTTAAGAAATGAATCCTTGAATCATCATTGAGCATCGCTGTAATCTTAATGTTAAAAGCTAAATGAAATAACTTTCCGGAAATAAACAACACCGAACGCCTGCTGTGACGTCATAAAAAAAGGGCGGCTGCGGAGCGACATCAAAACAAATCGGAGGCATTCCCAGATTGAACTAAATGGGAAGGAACCAAACAGGCTACTGTGAATGATCAATTTGTAAATCGCTCTGGATAAGAGCGTCTGCTAAATTACTTAAATGTAAAATGTAAATGTAATGAGGCGGCTGTTGTGCTGCTGTCCTATTGGTTAATCCAGGTCAGTCAGTTGGGCACAGTACAACACAGAGAGGTAGGTACAGTGCTGGACTGGACTCCCATCATGAAGCACAGATTGTGGCCCGCAGCAGAAAGGCCTAAATAAAGATGGCCATAATATAATCCCACAGTCGGTGTCTGGGGGAGAGAGAGAGCCAGGGGGTAGGTCCCGCCAGACTGACAGGGTCTGTCAGCACAACTGTAGAAGGAAGAGAGAGACCAAAGAAAAAAAAGACAACCCCCCACCCTACAAGTGGATATAGAAGCCTAGTACCCAATCCCAAATCAAGCCCCTGAAAGATGGATGAATGTAAACAAGATGGCAGAAAATCCAGCAAACCTTCCAGAGGGCTACATGAGATGATACAATGTTGCTTTCACCAGGAAGCCGTCAAGACATGCCTAGGGGCAGAGGTAAAGGCAAGGGCTTGACTTGGGATGAAAAGGGGACATAGGGACACCCCACGCGGAGCATTGGGGTTTGAGGATTGGAGCAAGGGGCCAGTCTTTACCCCATTCAACAGGGAGTAATGGTGGAAATAAGGAGAGGAGAGAGGACTGAAATAACCCAAATTCTCCCTTTCTTTATTCTGAGACATTTAACCCAATGTCTAACTCACAGTTCTTCCATGCCCTCAGGCTGCCCGCCCTTTTCCCTGGCATGGGCAGAAAGGGAGAGGAGGAGAGGAGCGAGGGAGGGAGGGAGCTAGGCACACTCATCCATTTCGGAAGCATATTTTCCTTCCTTCTTCAAGCCTGAATGCATTGATTACAACTGAAGAAGGTCATTGTGATTTGGGTGAGTTCCCTAAAACATCACTCTGTCTCCTGCTCTTGTTCTGCTGCTGTAACACATTTGACTCAAGCATCTCCTCCCTCCACACACAGACACATTTGCACATTTCCTATGTTTTCTTTCCCCCTTTTGCGGGCAGTATGAAAATCGCGTATGAATATGTATGCCACAGAGGCAGGGATATTGCCTATGGTGAACCACTATGCATAATGCAGCTCTTTCTGTCTCATCTGCATTCACACAGACACACACACACGTCTCTAAGATTCATAGCATCCCATGCACACAGGTCAATAAATCTCTCACACACACACAATAACATACACACAAGTATACACAGACACATTCTCAGAGGCAAGAGAGGATATGCCCATTGTTCCTGTTAAGGGTCTGGTGAATCATACCAGAATACAATACTCAACATGTTAAGGCAACATAACTCTATTGTCATTGCTGTCAGTTACAACACCACAATAACGTAGTAATGATGTTGTACAAGACATTACGGGAAAGCAAGATGAAATTATAGTCATATTATTGTGAATGCTATTTGATACCCATTTGGCACACAAAGACACTGAAAAGGATAATGCATTGGCGTCACACTGAAATTACTTTGCCGTACACATGCATATGCGCACGCACGCACACATGCACGCACGCACGCACACACCCCCCTTCTCCATATTATGCAGTGTCAGTGGAATATTAGGAGCCATTTCAGCATTTGCGGATCCACTCTCTCCCTCTTCAAAGGAAGGACTTTCACAGTTGTGAAGTGAGTGTCAGATTTTTGGCTGTGATTTATCCTTCATCTACTATCCATCCTTCTCTGAGTCAGAGATAAACAGAGTGATAGTAAGCAAGACAGCTAGGGAAAAGAATGATGTAAAGGAGGGAAAAGAAGAGTTGGCCATGTCACTTTAAAGCAGATTATACCTCCACATGACCCACCTCCTCTCCTCTCAACCCCTCTCCCCCTTCTCCTCTCCTCTCCTTTCATCTCCTCCCCTGGTACAACAGATCTTGTGAAAGCGGAGATGACTGTCAAGTCAGAGGCCACAGAATAGATACCCCACTCAACAACAGGTGAGAGAATACCCGTTGAGTTAACAAACTCAATTGGACAATCAGAGTCATCAAACTCAATTGAACAATCAGTGTGAATAGGTCAATCTGCCGATGTGTCCTTGAGCAAGGCACTTAACCCTAATTGCTCATGTAAGTCGCTCTGGATAAGAGCGTCTGCTAAATGACGTAAATGTAATGTAAATGTAAACTGGGCGTTAATTTTTGTTCATATTTGTAAAAAAAATAAATTATAATATGGCATTTGTGAGTTACTCATTGGAGGGGCAGAGGAGTGAGGCAGCATTTTCTATCTATGTAATTTCCCCGTTTTCCCCATGTGGTCAAGTTACCCTAGGCCTACATGATGCATGCAGGTGAGGAATAGCCTCTGTGGCTTTTCTGTTCACCGGCCAAGTCACCAGCACAAACAGTCCACGGTAGAGCGAGAGGAGGGGATCCGAGTTGACAAGAGAGTGTGGTATTATTGTGGCCGTGCATCTCAGAGACAAATGACAAGTTCATAGGTAAGGTGTTATTTAAGAATACTGTCGGTCAGGAGAGGGGGAGGGGGGGGGGGGGGGGGGTACATTGCGATAACTCATGGCTAAGGAGAAGACAGGATAGGTCGAGTCCACATCATTGGCTTCAACATGAGAAACTTCATTTAAAAGTTTATATTCAATTAAATAATTTGGCTTCAGATGAAATGAAAGCAAAAATTCCGTGAGTGAGTGGGGACGTAGTAGGCCACGAGGCAGACGCAACACCTCTAGACGCATGCAGTAGTCTACATTAATTCTAGGCAGTCTATTTCTGAATCTGACACATAACACAATTACTACGCGCCCATGCTGCCGTCTCACCTCTCAATTCGTGTGCCTTTTATTTGATTCCAAAATTACACTGCCGTTTCCGCCCGACCGGGCCTTGATGGTAAGTCAGACGAGTGCAATAATGGTTGACAAAATACGTTATGAGGAGAGCAGAGAGCAACACTCCGTTGTCAGAACCATCTGTCCGAGATGATGGCAACAAACGGCTACCCCATCAAACACAACACAAAAGAAGAGGGAGAAGTGCAGTCCTCTAGTCAATGAACTGATTTACTTTTGCAAATCAGTTGCAAATAAGGCTTTAGTTTCAGTTCAAACTAAAGCCTACTAATTACGCAGCTGGGAAGGGATAGTGATTTGGGTAAAACAAGAAGAGAAACCAATTTTGCATATTTCATCGGGTAAGGGGACTGAGTAGAGAGAAAGATGTGTGTGAGGGGGACATTACAGAGATGAAAAAATGCCTCAAAATGCAGCGTAAAGAAACCAATTATATATTTTGCATAACAAAATGCTTACACATCATAAATTAATAAACACTGATAGGCCGAATAATAAAACAAAATAAATCATTATTATTGTTATTATTTAAACAATAATAATATTCACAATAATAATATTAATTTAGGCAAATGTTCAGAAAATCTGTCTCAGGCAAGACAATTGCCTGAACCCCCCCACCACACACACACACCATAACCACCATCACCACCACCAGTCATTGAGTCATAATAAGGTTCCCATAAGGTAAGGTAAACTAAATATGCATGCGTAAAACCAAACTGTTTAGATTTGTTGACTAATCTATGTACATCCTACATTCATCCTATGATTCATATCAATTGAAATTGTACAGTCATTCAATATTCGGTTTAAAATCGATTGGAGGCCTGTCAGCCTGAACTGGATAAAACCGGAATCAGCAATGAATTGATAAAATAACCATAGTATCTCTCCCTCATTATTTTACAAACCGTAGTCTTGATCTAAATATTGGGTGTTTGAATTTGTGTAGCCATAATAATGATACAACATTAGGCTTTAATTATCGCAAATTATTATTAACATTATTAAGTTAATACATTGCAACAAATATGAACAATCATTGCCATCACCAATAGGCCTGATTGTTCCAGCTGAATAGATGGCGCGGATAGCATCTTTCCCTGCTGATTTGTTTTGTGTCTCATCACATTTCAATAAAATGACAAGCGACCCTCCAGATCATGACAAAGAAGAATGAGCGCACCCCCCCTCACTCCCTCTCTTTCTTCCCCCTCTCACCCCCCCCTGTTTTCAACCCGGGGTTGGTGTGTGCTGGTATGGCCGAGAGGCATCAATTAAGGGGCATCTGGTTATTCATATTGCACTTAAATGACTAATTAGCCTACTGGAAACCAACGACAACTAAAATAATATTTATGAGAATATCAAGTCATGCAAGAATGTATGGAAGCGATATTCATCAAATTAAGCACAGGGTGTTGTGTGCCTTTCCACGAAAGTAAGAACCGTTATGGAGGCGCGGCCAACTCAGGAAAATACGCAGTCCTAATGCATATGCATGTCAGATTATTGGCGTAAAAATATATCTGATCAAATCTTCTCTTTAAAATTAAAACACAAATGGGAGTTACGTTAAATCAGATAGTATGTAAATACAACATTGATTGTTGACAAAAATTAACGAATAAAGGAAAAAAAAACTATGCTTAATGGAAGTTTGTTTTCGACTGCGTTATCTCCATCTCTTCCCTCCACTCTTTCCGCTCCACTATCTAGCTGCATCCCCCACCCCTCCCTCCCTCCTTTCACCACACACACACACACACACACACACAAACACACAGTACATCTTGTTCAGTCACGGGACAAGGCGATGTGCAGTACATAATAATAAATACAAAAACTGTAATCCAATTAAACACAACAAAAACACAACAAAAAACCCTAGTCACAACAGCAGCACCACGCACACACACCACACCATCCCCGACTGTTGGCCTGCAAGGATATAGTCCATGTATTTCAAATGTCTAAAAGGGCATTCACTCATGAAAACACATAATGAAAAGAATAGAGACAGGGCCTATCTGCATGTGGTCCTAGGCCTAATTACGTTTTGGACAATTATTTATGTATTCATTTATTTGAACATATCTTGGGGTTATGACTGAATTTGATGGACTAGATTAAATTCAAATTGTTGAAATGGTTGACAAACGTTCAATCCGAAGCAATTATTTAATCAAAACCATATTTAAGCTTCCTCTCGATCTGCAGTATTTTTCCATGCAAACCCAATCAGTATGTAGAATCTGAGGCCATAGAAAATGGAGGATGCATAATTAGACTACTGATAATAACAACTGAGTGTGTCTGCATGCGCTGACCCATATCATTCTAGAAAATGAAGCAAATTGCCAACAGTGGAGAAATTATCTGCGTAAAATCCCAGCGTTCAATATCCTCAGCATCAGTTTACAAATGTTTTGGCCCTTATTGTGTTGGAACACACACACACACACACTAAAAGGTACCCTCATTCACAGACACACTAAAAGGTAGGCTCATTTACAGACACGCACTAATTTGGTGCGCTAAAGAAACCATATTAGCAAATGACACATAAGCCTGACACCTTCTGTTATCTGTTATGGGACAGAGGAAAGATAGTAAACAAATGTACACTTGTCTACCCCTCTACTGTTCCGGTAAACATCCTACAGCTCAGAGACGCAGTTGGAGTATGTAACAGCATGTAGCTCTCAATCTTTGCGCCTGCATGTCTTCCTCTCCTATTGTTGTGTCTCCATAGTCATGACAACTCGACCTGTTCATAAATGCAAAAAGTGTTACCTCCCCAATTTTAACTGCCACAGACAGCGTTTAGGGAAATATGGACCACACTGCTAATCTGTCTGTTCCTTCTCAAAAAAAGTGTACATATTTATGCATCTGCATAATGCATCCTTGGTTTTATCAATACATCTGAAAGAAGGGATGGTGGCTGAAAAGTCATTCTAATTGTCATCCTCCATCCTAAGTGTGCTTAAAGCGATTAAGCCAATCAAAATAAAGCTTTTTATCCAAGTGAAGATTGGCCATTGACTTCAACAGTCATATAAAAAAAAGGGAATTTAAAGTTGTGACTTTTATAAATTTCAACCCAACCTCATTTATTGTAGCACAAATAAACACAAACAGCCTGTATGCACCCCAACTTCTACATTGCATTGGAGAGAGCAATAGTTTGCGTGTCTTTCACGTACCTTCTTGTAAAGAATACAGCAGGAATAAAGTTACCAGCCACATGCCATAAATAGCAGGTATATTTCTCAGGAATTTTGTGCAATCCCGACGAGTGCACGGCGCAGCGTTCGGCCAGACGAGGCTCCGTGCTGGAGTGGTGACGATGCTCACCGGCGATCTCTCCAGCCCTAGTCCCAGACTCGCCAGCGCCGAGGAACGGACACTGATCTGGTCCCGCCTCCCGTACCCTCCCCTAACCGTTACCGTCATCCGAAAGGGCCCCTCCCCAGCTAATGTAATGATGCGCCGTGATGGAGAAGTGAGGCAGTGCGTCTACTTTACGAGGACCACACATATGGAGAGGCAGAGCGCAATGACATATGGAGTGCTTCTTTTGCGCGGGTGGGGGGTGGTTTGTTACGATTCTGCAGCATTGGGTGTTTGTTTATGGGGGCTCAGGTGTGTGGTGTCTTGAGGTGTGTTAGAACAGGTTCGCTCTTTATCTGGAAAGGTCCATGGACGCGCGCACCTGTGGACTTTTGCCGCGCAATGGTCTTCACTTCCCGCACACTGCAGCTCACTCATTCAGTGACTGTATCAGCTTGGCACAATGGATATAGATACATTTACGTTTGATAGGCTACTTTATAGATAAAGGTGTTCTTATTTTTGCGTGCTATTTTTTGTTGCTTGAGTAGCCTAATACATGCAGGATTGAGAGACTCAAGAAACAATTTTGTTTAGTCAGATTGATATGAAGACCAAACAATGAAACTGTCTCTCTCTCTCTCTCTCTCTCTCTCGCTCGCTCGCTCTGGCACAGACGCGGTGCCACACACGGCTCAGCGCTTCAAAAAATTTCTGCCGCCCTCTCTCCAAACACACACACACACACACACACACACACACACACACACACACACACACACACACACACACACACACACACACACACACACACACACACACACAGAGAGAGAGACACACACACACAGGTATGAAATATATTCTGTTAATGTTTTATTACCACAGTCTACACATAAAAAAAGTAGGGTATAATAAATTAGGGTATAATGATATCAGTGAAACTGGTTCATAGTTTTTGTCAAAATATAACTTTGTTAAATTACATTGATTTAAGTTGTTAATTTGTAAGATGATGATGTATAGCTTTATATAGAAGTACTGTTGCAGTCATGGAATGTCATTCTTTGAGCACTGCATAACAAGTGATGATTTTGCTTCATTGTTTACATTTTGTTGGTGGGACAACTTTTGATCTACAGTCTATAGCAGCTTCATATACTACTACAAACGATAAACCACAAATGCTAATAAAATGTCAGACTCAATCATATTGGACAATATTGCAATAAAACATGATCCAAACATGATGTTGTCAGTAGAGCGTTAGGGTCAACCCGCCCTGGGTAAAGGTCATGGGAAGTGAACCATGGTGAGTTAGAGGATATTCTGACATGGTTCATAAAACCACTGGTTTTCTCAGCTTTGCATTGAACCCCACTACCCCCTGCAGACAACGGCCCAAGAGCCAGTTACAACATTACATAGGATTTGTCCAAAATGGCACCCTATTCCCTATTTAGTGTACTACTTTTGACCAGAGCCCCTATTATGGACGCTAGTCAAAAGAAGTGCACTATAAATGGAATAGGGTGCCATTTCGGAGGCACATCTAGAGAGAAACCCAGCTATACCTCAGCGATTCCACAGTAGCCTTCTGTGTTGTTCCCAACAGTTCCTCCTCAGCAGGCACTATCCATGCCCCCTCACATGTAATTATTGAATAGCCACACGTACGGTAATGTTATTGATTATAGGGTATACGAGGCACAGTCACCAAAAACAAATGGATCCTGATAGCTGTCAACCCTCATCCTCCTCCCCCACATACTGAAGTCTACATACAGAACGAACCAAATAACTAAGCTCCAAAACACAGGACCACCCCTAGTGACTGTATTCGAAAGGATTGGCTAGAAATCTTCAGGCTACAATGTCACCTAAGTGTCATCTTGAAAATGTTCTCTGTCTTCAGTTAAGCATGGATCAGACCCAGAGACTTCAGCTTCATCATTATTTGAGACAAGGATTTGCAGTAATGGAGGGGAAAGCTTTTGCAGTGGCCATCGCCACAACAGCCACAGAAGAGAAACTTGACTCTTAGTCAAGCTACATGTAAGCTTGACTAAGTGGGAGACATAAGAAAGGGTGGTTGTAGATCGAGCTAAATGTGAGCTTACAGTAGCTTGGCCTCTCCCTTCCACAGAACATCTACTGTAGTGTAGCAAACTAGCAGCTGTGCATCCTCTCTCCATTATGTAACAAGTGGAGAGAGAGAGAGAGAGACACTGTTCGCCACCTAACTACTCCCATGTACAGACAAGTGAGAGCACACGCACTCACACACACACACACACACACACACACACACACACACACACACACA